GCAGAGGAGACTGTGACCAGCCCCATTCACTTCCATTTGGGGGGGGAGGGGGGAAGAAGGAATAAGTCTCCTCCACCCACATCTCAATCCTCCCCACATCATGGCTTTAGGTGTGGAGGGGAGAGCAGGGGCTGCATGCCCTGTGCTATCCCCTGAGCATTGGGTGTGGGAACAGGCAGAGGATTAAGGAGCGGATGGAGGGTTGGCTCCCCCAAGCTGAAGTGCAAAGCAGCAGAGCTGTCAGTGATAGGAGTAGGAGGACGCTACACCCCACAGAGAACTGTCTCCCTGACCCCAACAACTCCCCTGTGGATGGAGGGGGGGAGAATTGGGCCTCTTTATCTTCCCATTTTTTCTTTGGGTCTTCTCTTGGTGGAGCCCTTGTTCAGAACGCTGAGCAAATGCCCAACTGAGTGCAAAGTTCCACGTGGTTTTCGCAACAGAGGGGAGAACGAGAAGGTGGGAGCGTGAATCATGATCCCGGCAGGCCGGACTACAGAGAGAACAGACACAGTATCGCTGGGCCACGGTCCCGGAGATAGGTGAGGGCTACTGTTCCTACTCCGGCATAATTCCCATTGATTTTAATAGGAGTTTTGCCTGCGTGAAACAGTTGGCCCCCTGAGAGCAAATTACCCTCAGCTTTCGTTTTGTGTGCCGGGAAAGCCAGGCCAAACATTTAAAAAATCCCGAACTTTATCAATAATGTGATAATTAACTCTCCCCGGATTTGTCAAATCTCCACGGCCTGCACACCATTCAGCTGCACTTAGTTACCTGGCTCCTTGCCAGGATTGGCAATTAGTCTCTTGGCAGTCCTGCTGGAACTGAATGGAAAACAATGCCTGTAATTTTTCGAATACGTGGGATGCTATAAAGATCATCACACATTGCAATTTGATGAGGGCCTGATTCCACCAGGGATGTGCTGGAGCGAGAGAGGCCCTCGTATTCCTCTAGCGCCGCAAAACACCTCCACATGCGCGGCAGGAAGAGAGAGGAAGGGAATGCACCCGCATAGCAGTTCCAGCCTCTGCGGCACAAGTGAGCGTCTTCCGTTAGCCGGAAACCTGTCCAGATGTGGCTGCCTGGATTTTCCAGGTGCACCGTGATGCTGTGACAAGTACCCCAATCCGCAACAGCGTTCTCGGTGTCAGCAGTCTCAAGCTTGCAGGGGGGTTAGAACCTGGAGCCAAACACGGAAAGAGAGTGGTTTAAATGTCTATTGAAGTCAGCAGAATAGGAATCTGCCAAGAGACTGAGTGTGAAGTCGTTACCGGTGCACCTTCCTTGATTCAGTGGGACTGGATCATCTCACACAACAAGGAATTTGGCCCCAGAGAGGTTTAAAGCACCGCCTGTAGCCTAGCAGATAAACTTGGCTGGCGAGAGAGTTGAATTAGCGTGTCGAAAACATTTTGATCATAGTGCTAGCTCCAGATAAGATGTTTTCCTGAGATTCTGGTGGCAGGTTGTAAGCTATCACGGGGGGATAGAGGCACATAAGCAAACCATCCCTTCACAGATGTTTCAGCCTAACCCTTTCCCTATGCTAAGATCGCCTAGTAGATCTATCTCATAAGACACTCCTAGCCCGTCAAGAAACAAGTACCAGTGTTAATACAGGGGAAGTCACCCTCATTCGGCGTTCAGAAGGTGAGCAAAAAACCATTCCTCTCTGAGAGGTGTGTGGCTAACTCATGAAGCAGGCAACCCCTTTGTTTTTCTCAGGCTGGCAGGTAGAGCTGCCACATGCTGAAGGTTGATTAGTAAAAAGGAATGAGCACCGTTATGACACCCAAGAGATTTTTTTTCTGTCACCAGTGCACCTCTAATGTTTGCATTGCACATGCCTGGGTATTGAAATTGTCTTACGAGACTCCTCTCTACTGTCTGAGCAGGAGGTCTTTTCTCGCAGGGTGGAAAAGTCACTAAAGAAAAACAGGAATGTAGAGAAAGATTACAAAGTTTTAGAAGTCTTTTAAGGTGCAAGGTGGACTCTAAAGTGGAGTGCTACAGCACCGATACTTCAGAGCAGATGTGGCCGTTCGTTCTGTCCCGCTTGCGCTGTGCAACTTGAAGTTCAGGATTTTCTCTGCAGCACTTGGTGGCCCACAGGGACTTTCTTGAAAAGTGTGTTGCTGGCTGCTTAATCTCCAGAGAAAAACCGGGAGTTAACAATTGATGTGTTTGAACTGAGCATAACTCAAAATTGAAGAGAGAGATCAAGTATTCTGAGGGAAGAAACCGAAATTATAAGTAGAAGCATTCAGCTTGTAAATGTTGGGATTTTAAATTTAAAGGCACTCTCCAGGGTATTAATGAAAGGCTGAAAATCCAATACCTAGAGACAGAGTAACTCATTTTCATTTTCTTGCTGGAGTTTGATGCATGCCGTGGTTTGTGCAGACAGACATAGGTGGGTAATAAATGAACAGGAGAGATGGGATTGCTAAAAGATGTTTATTTTAATTTTACACTTGATAGTCTTTGTTTAACAACCGGAAGTTTACTAATGATATTTCAAAGAAAGCAGGAGAGAGAAGGTGTGTATGTATGTTTGTGTGTGTTTTTCCTCCCTGAATTTATACTAGTGTAAATGTATGCAGATTGTATGGTTCCTGGGATCTTACCACATTACTTCCCTGTTGTACTTTCTGTCCTGGGACAGTAGGCACCAAGTTGGATGGGTAAAAGTGGTCTAGGAAGATAGCCTTTGCTTTCCCCTTGGATCTGCCTCCTGCAGAGGCTGTTTCTTCTCCCCCCACCTCCCTCTGCCTTGCAAAACATCTACTCTGAAGCAGGAGTCTGACAGAAATAGAGTGAGTTACAATAACTCCATATTTTCTGTTGAGTTTTTGTTTTCCCATATTTTTTTTCATCAGAGCAGCATGCAGCCTATTTTATGAAGTACTGCATTAGAAGAGTGGCTTCTAATGCTATAATGTATTGAGCATTTTTCACTCCAGTAGATGTGGGTGTTGATTGGTGGGTGCTTTCACCTTCATCTCAGCCACAGGCGGGTTTCATTTGGTTGCGGTGGTATTGGTTGTATTATAAAATAAAATAAACCCAGGGCTGGGAAGACCGTTTCTCAATAGCAAAATCGTACTAAAGCTGGGAATCTACATTAAAAGCAGAAGCCTGAGAGTTTGGGATCTTAAAAAATAAACTTTGCTGATTAGATGTGTAAGACTCTTTGGGGCTGACATTTAATCTTCCATAGAAGGACGTTCTATATTTTCTTAGCACACATTAATGCAAGAAGTTATGCCTGAAGATTCACTTGACTCCAGGGGATAGATCTCAGAGTATTATTTTTCGCATTGTTTGTTGATGGAAATCCTGTTCTTTTTGAGACATGAAGTGAAAATGCATTTATCCAGATAGATGGATACCTGCATTTCCAAATATATCATTCTATATAAGTATATGCTTATCACGCTCGCCCGGAGGGACCTGTTTGTTACAGTGGAATCTGACTGTTGCTGAATTGAGGCCATAATGTGTGCGTTTGTAGCCAGGGAACCACACTGAGAAAGGCTAAGCCTTGAGGGATCGGTTGTGTGGCTAGAAAGATGGGCAGCATTTCTGTTGCAGGTTTGTTGCTATTACAGAACTTCCTAAGCCATTGACAGTGGGCCCGGGAGGAGGAGCTGTAACCATTCATAGCCTCGTCGGTGATGCTCCGTTTTCCATTTTGTGGACGATTTATTTCCGATGTGGTTTGTTCAGAACTCAGAGCCCCTGGCGGTTGGTTGGGGAAATGAGACTTACAGTGGGGGTGGGGAACCTTTTTGGGTGGGGGGCCACTGAGCCACAGGAAAATAATTCAGGGTCTGCACAAAAGTGAGAAGGAAAAAAAACCATGAGGGGCAGGGCCCAAAATGAGGGGTTCAGTGTGTGGGAAGGGTCTGGATGGGAGGGAGGGTGCAGGAGTGGGTTGGGGTTGGTGGGTCTAAGAGGGTTCAGGGGAGAACTACGAGGGAGTTGGGGTGCAGGCCCGTTGGAGAGGAGGGGGAAAAACCTCCAGGCAGCGTTTCCCCAGCCATGGGTTGGATCTGGCCCCGGCTTACCTGACTCCAGCCTGTGAGGCTTATGGCTCTCCTCCCTCCTCGCAGCAGGGAGCTATTGTGAGCACTCCAGCTGCATACGGGGCTCTACGGGCTCCCTGATGTCGGTGCGGGGGAGGCCTGAGCCCAGGGGCTGGATCCATAGAAGCCAGATCCAGCCCCTGAGCCATATTTTCCCCACCCCTGCTTTCCAGAGACCAAAAAAAGAAGTTACGGAAAATCCCTGCTGCTTTTCTGTCAGATGCTGTGTCTTGAAGGTGGTGCAGGTAGCTACGGTTTCCCAGCACTTTCCATTGCGAGACCCTGCCTCCATTCCTTACAATAGTCGCAAACTTTAATGGCTTGGGTTAAAAGTTTGCTGTCTCGCCTCAGCTTGCAGCTCTTCTGCCACCACCGTCGAAGCAACATAGAGAAGGAGGGAGGAGAACAAGGAGGTGGGAAGAGCAGAGGGACGGGGGGGGGGGGGGGTCCAAGACTTGGGACAGAATTGAGACCTGGATTTGGAGGTCCCAAACCAGCCATAGGTGCCATATGGACTTGCCAATGGCCTGATGCCCCAGGCTGAGTCTCCCCCCCCATGTGATCATCCAGTTGCTTGTTGGGTTGTGATGGGACTATTTTCTCTCCCCATTGATTTCAGTGGGAAGAACATTCTGAACTGACTGCTGGTTTTCCATTTAAAACATCCCAGAGGAGGACAGTGGCCGGGGGGGGGGAGAGGGAGGAGGAGGGAGGGAGCTTCAGGAGCCTATTTGGAATGAAAATGTGTCCGTTTATAGGCCAATGGGGTTTGTCCATGCTGCTCGGCCGTCTGCGCTGGAGAATGCTCAGTCGGTCTGAAGGCCTGGAGTTGGGGGGCAGAGGTGTATTGAAGTGCCAGGTTGCATTAGGAGGTGAGTGGGTCTTGGCCGTCACCAACAATGTAGCTCATAGTGTGGTACGGTCCTCACTCAGGCCTCTTGCCCTG